GACACAGCACCCTTGGGACCTTACGGAAAACACGCCCAGCAATGAACGACAGAGATTTATCTACGCAGTTCAAACAGGAAGTCAGGAAACGCCCACAACAAGGATCGGTTATGCGCCGGTAACCACAGATTTTTCAACCACATGAACGATGAACATCTTGAGTATAGAACAAGAGGAACCCAAAGATCCAACACTTCAGTCAGTGTCAAGTCGCCCTGTTCCTGACGTGCTTTTCGCTAACAAGAGATAGGAGCTGAAAACAAGGCTTTCTTTGGTGGATGGCTGTTGGGCTACGCCAGCACGTCCCAAGCGGCCCGACTTGATCAGGCTAATTTGCTGTTTTACCGGTTCTGATTTATTATCCTGTAATTATTCACACACCGTAACGCAATTAATAAGCCACAGTCACTGAACCTCTACATTTGCTGTTGCTTAAATGTTTGAAGGCGTTCTATGGAGAAACGAAATTTCGGAATCGTAAAGTGAGGTTGCATTTATGATTGCGTCACACACAAGGTGTTTGAGCCCCTGTGGAATTGAGTTCTGACGATGGAAATGACGCAGTTTTGCACATACTGCCTGCGCGCATGGAGGGTACACTGACTGTCCTGTCAGAGTAAGGCAACCGGTCACGCAGTGTAAACCGAACGACAAAAACCAAGCATTTCATTTTGCAGTTTCAGAAGGTCATGGGGTGATCGAAACAAAACTTTACTGTGCCGAAACGGGAGAACAAAATATATCTGCAGTAGGTTTCACGGGTCGATTTCGTCAGATAATAAAACGATACCGTAAACATATTTAAGTTCACCAATGTTTCTGCATGTGCAATTTCGATTTACGGTCCCAGCATTACGGCAGTTAGTTGATCAGTAGACGGAGCTCAACTTGGTCCACCGATTGCGATTTCGTTCCACTCAGATTGTTGTTTACAGCAGAGGACAAGATAGACAGTATTTTCCCGAAAGAAACTACTCACAAAATCAAACTTTGTTCGCTCATGCAGCCCATGCAGTTTTGGTTGTGGCACAGTGAGTTGAAAGCCGATATTCAAGAGGTGCAACGATCCGATCTTCCTTCTGGAAAATAAAGAAGCTGGTTTACGTCCAGTTTGAGAATCTGAACGTGTGGTGAATGTATGGCGGTCAAACAGCGAGTGTGCAGGACGGCTGCCGTCCAACCACAACTGGGTTGGACGTACGCTGTTCGGCCATAGCGCGTGTAGGCTGGTGTCGGCGAATCAGCAGCGAAGCAGTTAGAAAACAAGTGTTCGGTTGTGTAACAGAGGTTTCAATCGAAGAATGTGTCCAGCACCAGAAGCTGCGGTGGTTTGTTCAGTTATTGCGCTTGCCCAATCATCCTTTACCGAAGAGAGTGCTGCCTTCCGTGTCCAAGTCAGAGTGGCGGAAGCAGAGAGGTGGTCAACTCTCGACGTGTCAAAGGGATGTGGAAGAGACTACGAAAAGTCTGGATAATGCCGGTGTGACTGGTCTTTCGGGATAGGGTCCGGTTTATCCCCATTGTGGCTGTTTGGAAAGGCTAAAAGATATGACTACCAATCGATGACAGTGGCGTTGTTGTTGTTGCCACTTTCTATTCAGACTGAAAAGAATGAGTGCCTGGACAGACACTTCGATGTGCAGGCATCTTGGAATGATTGCAGCAGGCCAGCACTAAGCCCCTTCTCTAACGACTTTTATCTTTACCCATACAGATAACTGGAAACGAGCCGGAAAAAGCGGTTTTGGAAGCTGCTCAAAAGAAAACGGAACTGGATCCATCTGTGTGGACATCTCAAGGAAGATGGCGTATAAAAGCTGAATCTGTCAAACCACACCACCACTGCATTGTGTGTAGCACGGCAGCGCGTAAAATGTCATATGTGACGACAAAATAACATCACTGGGTTCGGTATTTCGGACTACACTTGTTTCAACTGACTTTGATGAGCAGGATCGTATCTTGCTCGAGTCAGAAATCATGTGGACTGGTGTTTCCAAGACAAAAAGCAAGTGTTGGGGTACATGACAGGTAACGTAATCCAATCTCCGAAAAGGGAGACAATTCGTCGAAACTGAAGGGAAACACTGTTGTACACTCTCGAAGAAGTAGTCTTTCTTCACGAGAGTACCGTACCCAACGGCACTACCTGCGTTAACTTGGCCATGTGTGTTGAAATTGCCCACGTTCAATGCTATTTCTATCTTTCTTTCATACTAGTCTGTCTTACCTCGGTGCGAATCTAGTTAGGCACTCGCAGTCATGAAAACATAATTCACACCGCATGTCGTCATTGAAAACTATACATGAGAGACGTCTGATCAAGTTTCGTTTATAACATTTTCACAAAGCTCTGGAAGTTTTATGTACTGGCCCAACCGGTATATTTGTCTATGGAGAATTCCGCTTGGCCTCCTGGTCAATACGACGCAAGGGCACTAAAACTTGTCAGTGGATCTCAGAAGAGTGAAATAGCCCCCATGCAGTGATGGTTCAATCATCAGCGATCATAAGTGTCAGCAACGTAGAGCTGGTGAAGTGCCAGTGCACGACTCTTCTTTGGCTATCTAGCCTTTCGTTTGAGAATGTGGCAGAAACTAATAATAAATAAATAACCGTCCAGCTGTAGCACGCTTTCGGTGCCTAGCTGCTATGCCACACGAAGGAGG